AAAAAAAAATACAAAAACTTACCAGTTTGGCTAAGGGAAAGCGGCAAACGGGTCCAGAGGGCGGCTGCAGAGGCAGGTAATGGGGTGGGGGCGGTTCTTTGATAGCCATAGGGGGGGCTCACAATAATTAGTTGGAAGCCCCGGCAACTCAATTCCACAAAATATGTTCGCACGTATGCGCACAAACGAAAGCGTTATCTATACATACCCCTTGAAGGCGACAACCCTTATCTTATTAGGACTGGTATTACAGACGCCAAGGGTTGTACTCTCCCGCATGAAAGCGGTACCTGTCAGGCTAATGTGACCCAAATTCCCATCTTCTTAGCCTCGCAAGCACCACCTCCGTACACCTCAACAGATTAGCGAAGAATGAACGAGTAACCGACATGTCTCAACTAGTACGCGTATAAGGTGGGTGTCGTCATGTTTTACGTCACGTTATCACGTTTTACGTCATGCTGTTATCACATTTGAAATAAGTATCAGTTTAAAAAGGTGTTGAAACATCTTCATTAAAGGTGAGTTTCAATTTTAAAATATGGCGCGTCGTATATCAAATTAAACGTCTTGATTAATGCAATAAGATAGTGGACCTCATCGATTTTTTTCTTTTGTTCGCGATCGATGATATGCTTGCCCAGTACGTAGAAAGCGCTTACTATCTTTTCGTTTTACTCACATTCGAAATTTTTTATTTTTCTCGTATACTTCTGAAACTTTTTTTATCCATGAATCATGCCTTTTCCTTCATTAGAGATACCGTGAAGAAAATTCGTCGTTTCAGTCTACAGGGCGAGCCTTGGAATTTAAAATAAAAAATTCCTACGACTGGCGTAGAACCTGTAGGATGAATTAAAGAGGCCATCCAGCAGGCCATAGCTAAATGCGTCGAATGTCTTAACCCCGAAAACCAGGTGACAATTATTGCCATGATTGGAAACTATAATACTCAATCATATGTTTTATTAAGGCCATCTAAACATCATATTACAATACATTTCACCGTAATTTTTACATTTACATTTTTAAATAAATTCCCTGAGGCTTTAAACACCGAAACTGGTCACGTTCTTTCACATGGACTGCGGCATGTCCTTTTCTAAGATGCATCTTCAGATGTAGTTGTCGGATTTGAATGCTTGTTGAAGGGGTCAAAGTCCATTTTAGACAGCAAGAGAAACGATACGTGTTCATAACGTATATAGCACGAAGGCTGTTTAATTATTATTGATTAATTAATACAACATCCCGAATATTTAGGTTCCTTATCTCTCTCAAAGCTTTAAAGTAGAACGCTGTTTTCATTTTCGCGACTACCAAGGTATCATGTAGGAGTGGAGGGGGTATGAAATTAAACCGCGCTCGTATTTTAATCTATTTCTATCATTTTATTAACGTCATTTATAAAAATTTAAAGAGTTTAAAATCATTGTATTAGCATGTAATATACGGTATTTCGTCCTTGATGCGATTAAAAAGGCTGATACTGTTGGGGTTATACTCCAAATCTGCTACGACGCGTGCTTTGGGGTGCTTCTTCTGCAACCTCTTCAAGGATTGCGGGAAACGCCTTCTCTGTGTTCTAATGATATGGTACGGATAGTCAGCTGATTGATTTTTCTGTATTATAGCATTTGTCGTTTGTTTTGTGATTTACCAAAATATTCGAAAACAACTATTATTTTAGTATTAGTATATTTCATTTTGGTAAGCAACATGTTTATAATTTCGCAACATTATTGGTTATGATTTACTATCTCTACGTCATGTTACATCCTTTAGGTCCTGGGTATCTGAAAAAGAAAAGAATTAATTACTGTTAGAGTAAATAAAGATTTTAAATTCTTCTGTTATATTATGTTCTCATTAAATATTAGATTTAGGTATCTTCTATATTTAGGAATCCATTTAGAGTTTTAAGAATGTAGTTCTTACCTCAATTCAGTTCGCAATTTGTTTATTTGTTTCAATTTGCATTTGTTTATTCCTAGGTTTTTAACTAATTCTGGCAGCAGTTATTTTGTCGCCCGCTTTATCAGACGTTTCACCTATCTTATGGTAGTTTTCTGTACTTCTTATCTAGCGTCCGTTTTTCATGGACAGATGGCACTGCAAGGCTTATTCTGAAAAGTATTTTAAATATCGAAAGGTATGGCTTGTGACTTTTTCTAACATTTTTTTTTTGGGATTAAGTTAAAATCGATTTTTAACGGAAGAGAAAAGAAATTTCTAGAGTTTCGAGTCTTGTTAGATATCGAATGTGATTCTCACGTGGATTTTCTAAGGCTTGTAAACTTTGTGCGGGTGCAATAAGTATTTATAGTGAGTGAGTTTACTCATCCTTCATAGCAAAGGGAGAATTGACCCCACATTGTTGTTTGGTGGTTCCTGTTTCGGAATTTATTTTTGGATATTTTTGGAGTTGCGATAGCAAGTTCCTGGAACCTCCTTGCCGCCCCGGCGCGGCGGGAGCATTTACGCCTTTCCACACCACGTACATCACATTTCAACTAAAGATCGCTGTCATCAAACCACGAGTTGGGAAAAGTCTGTCAGAAGAAACCCTCTAGTTATTGTGAGGTAACATGTTATTTTCTTTCTTATATATACATATATATATATTTACCAACACGTTTAGTCATTTTTAACACATTTTCTGTAAAATAAATTCATTTTATTACTTAGCTGGAAATAAACTGATCGACACAATTTAGGGACACTCATTCAGGTTTTCAATTATAATACAGCTTGTTTATTATCCAATCAATTGTCTTAACGCTTCGACGCTGAATATTTCCAATCATTTTGTATAACCTAAGTTGGTCGGCATGATTGCTCATACAAACGTACTTTTAGGGTTTTATTGTGGAGTTAACGAAGTTTTGGTCTGGTAGCAAGCGATTTTATTGGCGCAGTAGTCCCTACAAAAATCCTGCTGTATTATCTGCATCACCACATGGCAACTACTTACCTGCCTGCTTGTTTAGCTGTCTGCTTGCCTAGTTAGCTGCCTGCCTACTTACCTGGTTGCCCACTCGCCTGCTGCTTACTCGGCTACTTGCCCGCTTGACCGAGACTGTCACCTATAAATAAAATGTTCAGTTAAGTTGCATGCTAAAAATTTCTTACCTTTTGGTATTTTCATTTTAGTGTATATATCTGTATATTTTTGGCTACTGCTTGACAAAGGCACATAAATAGTTATATAGATAAATAGTTTAGTTGTATAAGATAGTTCCCTTACTTAATTTGCTTATTTTAACTTACTCATTTAGATTTAACTTAGTCAAAGCTTTAAATTCGCCTTTGCCTCTATAATTAATTTAAAGACATTTGCTTAACAAGGTAAATAAGTTATATTAGGTACTGTATATATTTGCTGCAGTATATTTTTTTTGGTTTCCGATTTAGGTCTCCTTCATTTTATCTTATTATAATTTACTACTTATGCCCCGACCCGTATAGTGTATTATTTTTTTTGTATAATTGCCGAAGTCGAACAAGGGCACACTTTATTTATATACTTACTTTTTACTTATAGATATAAAACAATCTATATCTGTTATCTTGACTTTGACAAGAGCGGTTATAATTGTGCACTGCACGTGTATACACATTCGGCAAAACCCGCGTCAAATACAAAATAATTATATTTATATAATACGGTTATATTACACGGTTATATATATATATTTTTTACGTAATAAATATAGATACTTACCAAAAAAAGGAGATACTTTTCTTTCACAAAAATAAACAACTGATTAGATAATTTACTTACCTTAAAGTAGTAACACCCTGGGTTTTCTTGGTTTTAACCGAATAGTATAGCAGCAGTGCTAAACCAAGCGGCGCTCCAAATATTTATCCTAATACACCCCGCCCGTCTTCACTGTAGTTAGCAGGCCGCTGCTTTTACACAAATAATATTTAGGTGAGTAGGAACGTCACAGTTTGGGTTAACGACCTTTGGACTTATCTCTTCAACGTAATTTTCTAGCTTCTCGTTCCGGGTTTTTAATTCGCGCAACTTGGACATTAGAGCTTCATTATCGTGTTGGTACTTGACCTTGAACTCGTTTACGAAATATTTCTCGACTATATTATTGCATTTTATGTAGAATTCCGGAGAAACCCAACAAGCGATATCCAGGAACAGCTCCTTCCGCATGTAGGTGCCCGAAAAAATAAACGTATTGTACACCGGGTTCTTATTGCCTTTTACTGTGTAAGAGGGAGAGAGGACATCGCTGGATTATTCGGGCCATCACTTTCTGATCCATAATATCGCATAAGTTCTAAACATTCAAAGAATACATATATTTATACAGGGTGTAACCAAAATGCTTGTACAAACTTGAATAACAGATTCTATTTCACAAATTCCTGGTGCAAAGACGTAAAGTATTGCGACATTCGACTGAGATCACGTGAGCAACCATTGAGATTGAGGTTCAGAATATGGACAAAAATAAAAAATATGTTTAATGCATGCGCAGAACATACTTGTAATTAGTACCTTAGTTTCTTCAAAATCGCATTGTTAGCATAAATCATGATAAGGGAGGTCAATGAACTCCAAACAGCATTACGTCATTCTTAGGTCATCTGAGGTTAAGGTTCAGGCCTGTTTTCTACTGGTTCAGACCTGTTTTTAGCATAAACTGTAACCTAATATTTTATTTCCTTTATAATTGAAGTGTTAGCAAAAATTCTAACCTAATATGCAGGCTTGCTAGTAAACCTAGCATGAGCCTCTTTAGCTCAGTGGTAGAGCACTGGTCTTGTAAGGTTTTTCTTATATATGAAAGGTAGAGGGAGAGAGGAAATAAAACAAACAAGGACAAGTAAACATATATTATGCATATTAAAATATAATAAATGTAAGATTATAACGTAATTGATACAATTTTTGTAGATGTAGGTCCATCCTTTGTTGCGGAAAATCGATGAGGGTTCGTAAATACATCATCCCACATGTCTTGAATGTTCATCTTTTGAAACTGTTTAGCCTTTTTACACTGGTTATCGTAGTGTGTTATTTTTTCAAGATGTTTATCT